GGTTATTCATCTCTTCCAGCTCAACTGATGGATATCCCCAGGAGATCAATTAGTACACGCTGTTCAAGTCTTTTGCTGAAAGAAGTGGAAAGGCTGCCCTCCTGTGTACAGGTCCAACACAGCTCAGAATTGGAATGTTGTAACTTTCAGCCCACTGGACAAGATGGAGCTTGATGCACGCGAGGCCAGGGGACCTGCTGGTCCACCGCTCCCGCTGCTGAGCCCAACCGAACCCGTTAAAGCTCCCTCCCTGTCTAACCCCGCATAATAGATCTGCTCGGTCATCGTTCCTGATCTCCGTCCCCGCCATTGCTGGACAAGATTTGACATCGAGGCGTAAGCCCTTTGGACGGCAGGTTCAATGTCGTTTAAGGTTCAAATGGTCGGATATACCTAGGTACCTATTCGCAGGTAAAGGTAATTCAAAATGTGGTAGGTCAAGTAACTGCGCTATGGAGGTTGCTTCCATGCCGACGCAACCCATTGCTGGCGCGCCGGCCTGAGAAATGGACAATTTCTTGTTGAGACTCGGAGGCATCCCGGCCAAAGAGAACGGAGCCGCCGGGGTTGCTGCAGCTTGGACTTTTCTCGGGTCAGGCACAAGAAGCAGATGCCCCACGCAGCCCACTCGGCAAGACATTCCGAATCCCAGATCAGATTAGGCTTCGCATTTCACACGACGAATCCGTGTACTGTGTACACAGTAACCTGAATTGTACGGGATACACCCCAATAGCAACCTGTTTTTACACTACAGGTTGCGACATCTTTTCTATTGGAGCTACCTTACCTGTACCTTATCAAACGCTGATGCAGACAGAAGCGAGGGATTCTTCCAGAAGGCGCACGTACTGCCGTTCTCACCTCCAAAAATTGGGCATTATGCATGAATGCCTTGGGCCCATAGTACTTCTATCTTAAGATCATCAGGTCGCACATGCACATAAGGTGTCTGGTGTTGGTGGTGTACCGGCCGGGTGGAATGCGGCTGACAAAAGGATAAATGGTTTTAATTGAACCCGAAAAAGGACATTCCCGAAAATCATGCTCCATCCTCCGTTCTCGAAGGGCACAGGCATGACCGGCGCCTTGCGTTTGTATCAGGTATATTCCAGGACCATGGAACGATCAACAGCCATGAAGAAGAATACAAAAGACATTCCCGGCAGCGAAATGCCTCGCCTCGCCTCGCCTCGCCTCGTCAGCATCGACTGCTGCGGCGCCAATGAAGGAGGTTGAAAAAGTTAAAAAAATGTATCTCGTCTACCGTGTCCATCCCGTATGGGTACCGCATATGGGGGCCGGTCATTTTGCTGATCCTGGCAACCGTGGAAAACCTCGACAGTGCACTTTTCTTTTTGGGGCCCCCCCGGCAAGGCGGATTCGGGATCCTGGATTCCTGGAAGCTCGACTGAGCTGGGGCAGCTTCCATGGAATGATGGCAACAAACGCCCCAGTTGTCTAATTCAGGGCTGGCAAATGTCGTAATGAGGCGGCCGAGCCATCCAGTGTCTTCTGGCCTCTTGATAAAGTCCTGGGTGTCCTGGCATGTCCTCTCTCGCATCCCATCCATCCCTACGCTGCAAGCAGGACGATAGGCCGACCGAATTTATCATCCATGCGACGACGTCACGTCCTCGACACCCGCGAAAACTCACTTCGGCGCCCAAACAGCAAGTCGCAACAAGTACCAGTATCGCACGTCTAGAAGAGAGAGAAAGTAATCTTGGAGATTCCGCTGTCGACACATTTCAGAATTCAAAATCTCCAAGTTCAGCTGGTTGCTTTTCCAAGGTTTTCTTCTGGGGTTGGCTTGGGTTGTTGGCCTGGACTTGGCCTCCAGGCTGCACACAGACGAGGTCCTGGCAGCCTGCCAGCTGGTGGCAGGCGATTGGACCGATGCAGCAAGCCCGGCACGGATACGACTTGCGTCCAGTGCCAGACCAGCACTGTCAGCTGCTCCTGCTGCGGTTGCTCCAGGAGTGTCGCAGTGCCCTGCATCCTGGCAAAAAGCCAGAACTAAGAATTGCCCACCGGGATCTGCACCAACGCCTGCATCTGCATCGAAATTTGCCCTCGCCTACCGGTAGCTTTTCTCGCCCAGACGTTAGGGAGTCGACAGCATCGCCACGCAGGAAGCTGAAGCAGGAGCTGCAATTGTCGAAATCGAGAGGGCGGCAATCGAGATTGCCAGGTCCCTGCGACGGAAACGACTTGCCCAGGCCGAAGCGCCCGCGGGATCTCCCTGCGGCTCGGGCTCATCAGCGTCTCAGAAGTGTCAAGCACGAGGACGAGGACAAGGGCGGAGAGGAGGCCGTCTCGGCGGCCGCCACTGACAGATCTTCCCGACGGCTTCCCGCGCGGCACCGCCAGCCAACACCTCGCAACCGATTAAAACGACCGCCGTAGATGCAGCAAACACCCGCCTCGCCTCGCCTTCACATCAACCCATCTACCCCGGCACTGGCACTGGCACTGACACTGGCACTGGCACGTCCACGCCCACTCCGCCCTTGCCCGTAGCGTCCCCACGTTTCCCACGCAGGAACAGTCTATTGCGAGGCGACTCGTACTTAACATCACCCTTTCGCACCCGCGGCGCCGCTGCCTCATTCCAGGCCGGGGGTTTCCAGCGTCCACTGCGTCGCCTGTCTGTCGCTCGTCTCTGGAACCCCACGAACTCGACTCCGCGCATATCCCCGACTCCGACTTCGACCTCGACGCCAGCCCGCAAGCGACGTCCGTCAACACCCCCCCCTCCGTCCATTCCGCTCTCGCTGCCCGCATTCGATATCACAACCGAACCCATTCTCGGCACTGGTGCCGGCGATTACCCGCTACTGACGCTTCCTGAGCAGCAGGCGAAACGGCAGTCTATCTCCAACAGGGCAAGCCTTCAGATTGGACGCAGCACTAGGAGCGAGCAACGCGTAAACCTACCGCGGACTGTCCGCTATTCCCACGACGAGAAGCGCTTGAGCGTCACGCCCTCGCCAATTGAGGAGCCAAAGGAGCCAGAAGCAGGTCCCTCGTATACCCAACCTGCTCGCCAGAGATTGGGGCCAAGAACGTCAGGGGCAAGGCGGAGAGGGCAAAGTGCATCGCTCCCGAACGCCCCTGTCGGACTCAGCTTCCGGCCAGGAACCATCAGCATCGATCACGCGAACGAAGGTGCCGACAAGGGAAAGGGCAAAGCAGTCATGGCGCCTCAGGAGACTGAGGGAAACGATGGCAGGGCCGGGTACTCCCAGGATCTCGAGCGAGGCCCAGGTGCCACGAACCAGCGTCATTCCACAGCCTCACGGCTTTCTGGCATTGGGTCGGCCATCTCGTCGAGCGATTCGTCTATTATGGGCGATCCAGATCAACAAGCAGATCTCGGCGAAGAATGGGGTCCCCAACACCCCTGCTATCCCCATCTGAACCCGCACGTTCCCGTGGACTCGCCCGAGTACGCCAACACGCGTATCATCCGGATCCGACGTGACTGGCTTCTTGAGGGTGACCTTGCGCCGACGTTCTCAAACCTTTATCCTGAGATTCTCGACCCGGCAGGTGTGACGGAGCAGGAGTTTCGGCGCGTCATCGACAAGTTAAACGGCGAGCTTATTCCGGCATTCAACCCCTATAACTGGAGGAACGTTGTAGACGGCATGCTGGGTCTTGCAACAGGATGGTTGTGGGACGACTTTGGACTTACAGGTGTCAAGTCCCGGCTACGGAGTCTCGAGAAGTGGATAGAGCAGTGGAACCTCGAGATGGAGAAGGTGTGCAGCGATGAGAACGTCATACCGCCCCGGATCATATCCCTAAGACGTACCGGATACATGACGGTAGGCATTGACCCGGCACCTAATCCCTCCCGAGTACATATACTGACTGGACAAACGTAGCTTGATATACAAATCCCCGACCCCGAGATTGCGCCTGCGCCGCCCAGCACTCGCGACGGTGCGTCTCGTTCAGGCATGCCCGCAGAGCCTGCCGCGGCTCTGACCACTTGATACCTGGGAGCTTCCGCCCGGGTTTTTCCCACTTCGATTCGGCCCATCCTATTTACCTTATTACCTTTAATCGGTCCTGCGCCATGACTGATGAACGCTTATACATACCCATACCCATACCCATACCCAAATTACCAGGCTACTGTTTCGCATATCACACACCCCCACCGACAGACTTGGCTGCTTCCTGGTTTTCTTTTTCTTCTTGATAATATATGCGGCATGAGCACGGCGTTGTTTGCCTTTGTTGTTTCCTTGGGCGGGTTGCGGAGAACGTTTGAGAAAGGGGCGTAAAGCCAATCGTCTTGGCTAGATGAGGGGTGTGCACATCACACGCGCCTCACTCACCTCGGCGTTCCGTCACTTGGGCGGCTCGGTGGTGATGGGCTTTTTTTTCCTTTTCTATATTTCGCGAGGCAGAACCTGGCTCGCGCCGCAACGTACTTTTTCTTTTTGTTGCTTCTTTTTCTGGCGATTGTGGATAACGCTTGCCCCCCCCCCCTCCAAGGACCTAATAAAAGCTGAAAAGAAAATATGCACACCGTTGTCATGACTTGGATCTGATTGGAATACACAGTACATCGGTGCTGGGATGGGATAGCTGAGATCCGAGAAGCGACAAGTTGCTCCCGCCAAACAACTGATGGATAGGGATTCTACCTTGAGTTATTCAAGTTTGATGAAAATAAGCTCAACTGAATGCTCAGGTACCTTGCTTGCATGGCCGATGACTGCAAACCGTGGTACTGAAGTTGACCCGAATTTTGGCGATACCAGCAATGTTCCAGTTCCAGTTTTCTCCATCGCCTATCCTATTATTGCCCACCCAGTACCAGTCAGGTCGGGCTGACCTGCCGTGGGAGTATGTACCTGGTATGTATGTATGTTATATCCTCGAGATGCACCAAACCCTGGCACCCCCAATCTCATCCTGGGACAGACGACGTGACGTATTGAGGGGATATAAGTTTTGATTCCGGGTGGGCGCATCTCAATACCTGGTTGGCGCAGTGGGCAGCGCGTTGCGGAAAGGCAGGTAACCAGGGCGTCAAGTCTGCAATTAGGCTTCGTCCTCTAACTTGTAGTTGGCTTGGCGAGTGAAGGCACCTTGCAGAGGTCCTCGGTTCGAATCTGACATCGGGTGTTTCTTTTGTTCGTATGTTCTCGTCTTCCCAGGATTTAATCCCCCCTGAGTGGTGTTGCACGGACATGAGTCATACGGGGGTATACGGGGGTATACGGGTTAGGGTTATACATGTATGAATGCATGCGCGTTCGGAATAATTCCCTATCTCTCCATACTTCCCGGATCCGCGTCCGCATCCGCATCCACCCACACAATACCAAGATAATCACTATGCACGAAACGAGAGAAAAAAGAAAACCCCCACCCACAACTTGGTATTCAACAAAACTACCAGGACGTTATTCCATCAAAGTATAGCAACAGCTGCGTGGCGCAGCGGAAGCGCGCCGGGCTCATAACCCGGAGGACGTCGGATCGAAACCGACCGCAGCTAAGACTTTTGTGGTTCTTTTTGTCCTCTTTTTTTTTTTTTTGCTGTCCTTGTGCTCTCGATATGTTACTTGTCTCCCTACCTAGGTAGGTACCGGGTATCTAGCAAAGTATTGTATTTATTTTATTCTTTCCATTCTCTCATTGCTTTAGGCATCGCTGGTTTTAATTGTGACGCTTCGTTCATAAACGGTTCTTACCTCTCTACTTCTCTTGTCGACTCTCTCGCCCACTCTTTCTCTTGTCGATTGTTTCTATATGCTACTCGTTCGGCATTTCTGTTCTCTCATTGAATTTACCTACCCTTCATACCCGAGCAACTGTCCTTCTAACCTCGAATCTAAGTTCCGTATTCCTCCCTCCACTCCTTCTCTTTCTCATGGAAACACACACACACAAACAAAGTCGACCATCTTATTGTTCGCACTTCACACACGGGCACTATTATCCCAGAGCCTCTGCTCGCCTCGTCCACCCGAATATTCATCCCAGCAGTATGTGTGTGTGTGTACATACCAACCCTGCCAATTCCCAAACGTCCATGACTCGAGAGGAATTGTCCAGCCCCGACCCCAACCATGCTCGTCATCGTCATTGTATATTTCTTTCTTTCTTTCCATCATACCACTCCCCACAGCCCGACAGCTCCGACAACGATGCGCATCCCATGACGAGGGAACTTTCCCATCATGAGACGGACGGGATTCACACCCAAGAGAGTAAAAGAATTGTTTTTGTAGATATCATCATCGTATCTTGACAAATGCTACCTTACTCCCTACTACCTGGCCCTACATGTTGTATGTACTGTACCCACCCATTTTCCTTACCAGGTACCGTAGTTGATACACGACGCGCTACTGCTGCCAAGCAAGCAACCAACCAGCCAAAAAAAAAGGACGACAAGATAAATAAATGAAAGAAAAATCCCAAACATGCTAACTCAAATAATGCAACCCCCAACGCAATCCCGCCCTCCATCGCCCCATCCCGACCCGTCACGTCACGTCACGTCACCCCGAGGTCATTGCTCCGAAACCACGACGCCGGTCTTGGCCCACTGCCGCAGGACTGTCTTCTTAATCTTGCCGGTGCTGGTCTTGGGTAGGTCGCTGACGATCTCGACCTCGCGCGGCACCATGAACTTGCTGATGGAGCTCTGGTGCTTGGCCCAGACGATGACGTCCAGCGGGTTCAGGTCCTTGCTCGTCTCCTTGACCGTGATATAGGCCTTGGGCCGCTCGCCCCAGTGCGAGTCGGGCACGGCGACGACGCCCGCCTCGAGCACGTCTGGGTGCTCGACCAGCATGCTCTCGAGCGCGACTGACGAGATGTTTTCGCCGCCTGTGTGTCCCTCTGTGGTTAGCGAAGCTTGTGATTCTTGGGGATAGGCAAAAGGAAAAAATAAGGAGAGGAAAGAAAATGGGGGTTCGGTCGGGCAGGCTTGGCTTACCAGAGATGATGATATCCTTGGCGCGGTCCTGGATCTGCAGGCTCCCGTCGGGATGCCACACGGCCAAATCGCCTGAGTGCAGGGCGCCGCCGGCAAACAGCTTGCGGGTGGCCTCGTGGTCCTTGTAGTAGCCCTCGGCGCAGATGTTGCCAAAGAAGACGATCTCGCCGATCTCCTTGCCGTCCTTGACCACGTCGACCAGCACGCCCTCGGGCAGGTCGGGCTTGACGACGCGCACGGGCAGGCTGGTCAGGAAGCCGTGGCCCTGGCGCGCCATCTTGGCGAACTTCTCGTGACTCGGCAGCGCATCCCACTCGGGCAGCACGTAGCCGCGCGTGATGGGCCCGTACGTCTCGGTCAGCCCGTAGACGTGCACCGGGTGCAGGTTGAGGCTGGTCATCTGCTCGAACAGGTGCGCCGTGGGCGGGCTGGCGGCCACGGTCACGCGCACGGCGCGGGGGAGCACCTCGGCCTCCTTGGACGAGCACAGGATCGTGTTCACCGTCGGCGCCGCATTGAAGTGCGTGATCCCTTCTTCTTTGAGGAGCTTCCAGATCAGCGGGTAGTCGATCTTGCGGAGGCAGACGTGCGTGCCGCGGACTGCGCAGACGGCCCACGGGAAGGTCCACCCCATCGCGTGGAACATGGGCAAGGTCCAGAGATACTTGCACCGCGCGTCGGGGAGGTTCAGGCCCGACTCGACCACGTTGGCCAGGGTGGCGAGATAGGCGCCGCGGTGGGTGAAGACGACGCCCTTGGGCCGCGACGTGGTGCCCGAGGTGAAGGGGATGGCAATCATGTCGTGCTCGTTGGCGACGGTCTGCGACTGCAGGTCAGCCCAGCCCTTGGACCCCGTGCTGCGGTCGTAGTTCAGGCCCTCGAGGACGGCGTCGTCAAAGGGCCCCGAGAGGGCACCCTCGGTGGCGTCGGTGTCGAGGTCGACGATGATGGCGACGGCCGGGTGGTCCTTGCGGAACGAGTCGAGCAGGCCGACGTACTCGGCGTCGACGATGATGGAGTCGACCTCGGCATATTCGAAGATGTAGCTGACATCCTCGGGCTTGAGCCGGATGTTGACGGGCACCGTGACACCGCCGGCGGCGGCAATGCCGTAGGTCGACTCGAGGAAGGCCGGCGTGTTGGGCGCCAGCAGGCCCACGCGCTTGTAGCCCCGGTGGCGGAGGTAGTAGGCCAGGCCTCGCGCTCGATCGGCGAACTCCATGTAAGACCGCCTCAGTGTCTTGCCGTTGGCCGTGATGTGGTAGATGGCCTCGGCATCGGGCTCGATGGTCGCGGCCCGCTCGAGGAAGACGGTCGGGGTGAGCTGGTGGACGTTGGGGCCGTGCTTGATGCCGCCATCGCCCCACGACAGCGGGTTGAGATGGCCCAGGACATTCCTGAGTCTCGAGTTGGGGCTGGACATGGCGGAGGGGTGGATGATGGAGAGAGCTTCCAGCGCCCCTGAATCTTGCTTGTCGTCCGTCACTTGTTGCCGTTCAAGTTGCTTTTCTCCAGATCCCAAGAGGAGAAGAGATTGGGGTTGGTAGGCGTAGGTAAGAAGGTAGGGTAAGGTAGGCACCAGGCAGGTGTGTAGACTTGGTGATATCCAAAGCGCAAACGACCGAACAGTACAGTACGCAGCAAGATCAACAACAATAAGGACCAACAGGCATCAAAATAAAAAGATAAAAATATATAAAAGGAGAGGAGATGGTTGGACAATGCAGATTAAACTTTCCAACCTGTCGAAGCCCGTTTCTGCGTCTGCCAATCGGGCTGCAAACGCCCGCAAGTTAGGACCAAGGTACGTAGTTTATATGGAGGCACCCGGGCGCTTCCCCGGTTTTTCGTGGCGATTGAAGGGGGGGTGATGTTCCAGCTGTCCGGGCTCCATCCATCTCCAAATCGGTCCCAGGTTCCTCGGATAGCATCTTGGGTTCGATAGGCTGCGAAGGCTTGTCTCTCCACACTCTTGCTGAAGGGGGACGCTTACCCCACCTTCTGTCGACGAGAACGAGTGCCGATTCAGGTGTGTAACGTCCGCTAAGCCGTCCGGGGAGGGCCGCTAAGGACGGTATCCCGTCGTGCGGCCTGGGGAGATGGGGTACGGTCTAGTCCGGTTCCGGGCAGAGGACGAGAATGGGGCGCTCGCCTTTTTATTTATTTATTTAATATTCTCATCTCTTGACTGGGAAAGCCGGCCGCCGCACCGTCCCGGTGTGAAAAGAATGACAGCATGGGTCGGTCACCGACAAGAGGCAATTCACGTCTGGGAACGAGGGCTGTGGGGAGGGAACAAAAGGGAAATAAATGACTGGGTCCCGAAACTTGGCTTAACGGGAGACTTGGAGGGTCGTCCCTGCCTGTTCTAGTGGACGTACGAAGGAAGGAAGGCACCACCCAATTGAAGACGCCATGTTCGCGTCTCGCTCTTTGGACCTATTGCCGAGTCAACCCGGCGGGACACCTCAGGACAGGATAGGACAGGAAACAAGCATAAAGGGAAGCGAGTTCCATATTGCCATTGACGGATGAAGACTCCATACTGTTGTGGTGAGCGACGGTGGCATCCTTGCCCGCCCAGATGATGCCATTCCCATGAATTAAACAATTCAATTGCTCGAGAAATCCCCAGGAGGTACGGTACCTACCAGGTAGGTAGCAGCGGGTGAGTACCTCCTCCACCAAATCAGGTAGCAACAGCAAAACCTTTCCACGTCACGTCAAAAATACAGCACGGGCAGACGCACCAGAGCGAATGTGTCTCCTCCAAACAACAATCAACATCAGCCTTTCATCAATTCATGACACTACCTACACGTTCTCGTCTAGTGGGACATGGCCGCGACAACCCCATAACCGCAGCTGGTATCCGCCGACAGATATATAAAGATGATAGAAAAAAAAAGAATACACGCACACACACACAAAAACCCAAATAGCAACAGTAACAACAGCAGTGCAGTTAAAACACCCACTTGCTGCGCATATAGGAGAACCCCCTATTCTTTCCCCTTTCCCTTTCTCATCTCGTCTGCTAATTCGAACTAGTCCTTCTTGATCAGGCTGTCAAACAGCGGCTTGAGGCTCTTTGCGCTCTTCTTGGGGTGTCTCTTCTGGTCGTGCTCGTAGTCGACATAGGTGACGCCGAAGCGGGTCTCGTAGCCCTCGGCCC